CTCGAGATATCCCAAAAATGCTGAAAGTCACGCAAGAAAACCTGTAAAAAACTGAGTTTTTTTGCGTGACTTCCAGCATTTTTGGGATATCTCGAGAAGGAAAGCATATTTTTTGAAAAGAAAAAAACTAACCTGAGATAGGGTTTGAAGTATCTGTGGTAAAATTTTGAGCTCGATCGGACCATTTTTTCGAGGGGTCGTAATGTGACTGGATGAAAACCAGAGTTTTCTAGAAAACCCTTAGAAGAACACGTCAGAAAATTCTGGGCAAAAATACTTCGATTTTCTTTTTCGATGTTCTATCTCTGTTATAAATTTCACCCCGATCCGACATCGGCGTCCCCGGTTTTCAAGAGGGTCAAAAAAGAGGGGGAGGTACCCTTAATGAATCTGAAGCATATCCCTATGAAAAATCGATAAAGATGTCAAATGCATCCAAAGTGCATTTGGGATTACTGTTGAAGAACGGAGTGCTCTGCAGTAAGTAAAATGTATTTTTTAGTCGATTTTTAACTTATCGTACTGGCGAGAAAATGTTATTTACTGGCCAAATGTCTTATACATAATTATACCATTTTTGATATAAAAATTTTCAAGAATGATCATAAAATTAGTTTATCTAATAATTTATCAGAAAACTGTAACGAAATATTTCGAATGCTTTGTATTGATGAAAAGCTATTGTTAGGCGAACTAGATGGCAATAATTATTTGAAAGCAGCCATAATTACAAAAAATATTGAATTCTTAATATTTATTCAATTCAAACAAGAACAAACATTTGATTTTGCACATACATTGATCGTTAATATTCTTGATGCAGATGCTAAAGTTTTTATTAAATTCTCGTCGAAATAGTATGAAACTTATTTCCTAATATGACCCAAATCCAAAACGTTTCAATATTGAATTATATGCATTCGGTAGTCAATGTATTCATCAATTTGTTGTAAAATATCCAACCATAAAACCATTTTCAACTGATGATTTCACCCAAATCATCACGGATGCATCGAACAATTTTGGCTCGATCATCAACGACGACTTCGAGATGATATAGAAAAACAACGTCGTTATTACCAATTTTCGTAATATAATCGACTAATATCGATACATTCCATGTTTCAGTATATCTTGGTCGAGCTGGTCTCAAATTAAATACATATTTTCATGATAGGATGTTGTCTAACTTTAAAACCATCAAGATTATTCATCCTTAATGTTAAATCTGATTTATAAATGTTTATCATATTACATTCTAGTCCATTTTCAAATGACTCTATTGAAAAATTAACTATAATTGCTATATCGGCTGAAAATGGATCAATGCTTTGAAGCAAAATTCAGCTACACATGCTGATCGTCGAAAACAGAATTAGGAATGCAATAAGAAATGTAGAACTACTACAAACATGATTAATACAAATCACAGTGCTATTATTTTGATTTATTATTGATATTTCGATGATGTTCACTCGTCATCATCAGAATAAACGAATATATGATTCAATAAAAGTACAAAAAAGTAAAAGAACAAAAGACTAAATAATTAGGTATATGTTGACGTGTACATTCGTACACGTGTACGTTGATTAATGACACTAATGGTGTTCTTACGTCATGTATTGTGTAATTAACCTGATCTATATGTTACAAAATCTTTATTCTCATTGTGATTGTCATTACGAACAGAACAGAAAAATGACAGAAATAGAACAAAGCAAGTTTATTATTGTCGTATATGTTGCATCGAAAACAGAGTCGAAGATACAAGCCACAAGAAATGTTTTCCAACAGTTTTTTCATTCATCATCGTTTGAAGTAAAGTCTTTCAATGTTGCCAGTGATGTTAACTCACAGCCATACGGCCTTAAGGAAATTGAACAGGGTGCAACAAATCGTTTAAATAATTTACTGAAACTTATTACTCCTGATGATCAAAGCGCGTGGTTTGTTTCAATAGAAAATGGTGTAGTGTTAGACGCTGATACTAGGAAAATGATTGATATTGCATATGTTGTGGTAAAACATGGTACGTATGCCCTAATTGTGGTTAAAGAGTACAAACAAAAGTATTGTTCTTTGTAGGAGAGAACGTTTATGCTGAATGGTCAAATCCAATTGAGTTATGTCCCAGTTTACAATTTCTTGAGGAGGAAAGCAGTTACGATCAATGGTTAGAACGATATCGATCAATCATTATGCCAATTATTTACAGAGGAGAAGATTTATATTCATATTATTCAGATGGTCAACGAACTAGGCAAGGTGAAATTGAAATTGCCCTTATTTCCATTCTTAGAAAAAGTATCCAGTGTTAAAACTACTTGCCTAAAGGCTGAACTGATCGGTAAATTTAAACAAGACATTGCACTAGATGATATATATATATATGAGTGAATTGCAACGATATTGTACCGTCACTGATCGGCGTATAAAGGCCATTCTATTTAATGAATTTTCAAATATTTTTACTTTGTATTTGTATATTCACTTCTGAACAAATGAGCTCTCTATTACTTAAGGAAGCTGTGACATTCATCAAACAAGGTCTAAAATTGACATTTTTCAGCTGGTTCGTTAGAAAAAGCTCGTTTTTTTCTCAACCAACTTAAATAGAAGCAGGAGAAATTTTAACTAAATTTGCAGTAGCAGAATTCTTGAGCTATTCAAATATATACTTGGCATTGAAATTAAACAAGATTATGTCAATTACACATGACGTAAAAAAATAAGCTCAAAATTTCTTACCGTTCCTGAGAAATTCCGACGAAATGTGCACTGACATTAAACTCAACGTATCTTCATGAAAAGTTGATCAAATTTAGATTTATTATATACCAATCGACTCGTCTTTCTAAGTTGCATCTAACTATGTAATCGGGACGGCTTGTGGTTCTACCTATATCACAGTGACTTAATACATAATATATAATATAATTATACAATTATACAGTACAATATAACATAATATAATTTTACAGCAAAGTAGGACATGACTACCCTTCATTTATTTTAGTTTTGGGTTTAAGTTACTTTTCTGGAACACTTTTTCTAACGTGGATATCTGATGGAATGGTTTGCTCTTAACCAAGAATAAACTACAATTAATTGGTCAGCTAATTGGGCAACCAATGAAAACATAATTAGTACGTAAAGCGTAGCTTGTCCAAATAAAAATTTCGAAAGTTTTCAAACAGCTGAATCGAGTTGAGCTACGCTCATGATAGTATTTTCAGAACGATCAGAGATGAAAAAGAAACTCCTCAAAAACTTGAGAATCCTTTGAAATTCCGAGACCCTTTATCGTCGAGACTAATTGTTTTATCTTTGTCATAGGTCCGTTGAAAAAATTTAACAGTGTTGCAAAATAATAATATCAATAACAATGAACTATAATTCTACCGTCGAATCGCATTCTATCAAGAGTCTGTAAGCAGAAACTAACACGGAAGTCGTAAAAAGTGTTGTCTAATAGAATCACCTTATAAGTTTCTTAATAAACCACTATTCATCCTTCTTTGGGTCCATTGTGTGAGAGAAAAGACGTATCACACGCTAAAAATACGAGCTTACGGTTTGTCCACGTAGCGCGACACTTCGCTGGTCAAGTTTTTTTTTTTCTCATCGGGAAATCGATAGAAGCCCATCGCCAGACGTAGCTTTTCATGCTGATCACGAATTTGGTCTTTATTTTGAATATAATGAATTTTCAATTAAAAAATTTAAATTTAAAATCTATGAAAACTTTAATTTTAATTTTCTGACCTAGAGATTTTCGTAAAAAAATTTTAAAAATATACTGTCGAATAGAGAATTCAATTTTCTACAAAATGGCTCGTTTTTTTTGAGAAATATTTCTTAGTCGAGGCACAAGGGCTGCTTGCAGGTTTGAACTTCTGACTCGATTTAAAAGCCTGAGGCACCTTTTGGAACTCTGTTTGCAAGTGGAGTATCTTCATGAAGGCTAGAAGTACTCAAACTATAAGTATGAAGTTGTTTGAACAATGCTGAGTGCCCTAAAATGTGCAACAACGTTACGGAAAACGTAACAGGGTTACGTTAGTTTTTTGCTTTTTTTACGCGAGTAAAAATACAAAACGTTAAAGAACAAACGTTTTTTTACGGCTGAAAAGCTCGTTCGATGCGCTACAAAATTTGCTCTAGCGGCATTTCATTTGGAGAACAACTTTCGCAGAAAATTAGAACTTTAGCAAGAGCACTCCGAATTTAGGGTCTTTTTATGTAACAGCGTTACGTGATGAAAAAATCTTTCTCAAAGCTCCAGACTTCAACCAAAAGACTTCGTTTTCATAGCATACATAGAGTATGATGAGCTGCGTCGAATGGCATTTCATGAACTTTGTAGCTCTCAAACTTTCCGAGATAATTGAGAAAAAGTGTGTCAAAAACGTAACAGCGTTACGTTTGGACAAGCCGCTTAACGTCCACCAATGCCTGAACATATGCCATACTACATTCTCACACGCGCCATTCTACGCACATTGACGAATTCTTTCGAATGGTACATGACACTTGTACTTTTCATTAAAGAAATAACGCTTTCTTTCGTCAAAACCGTAAGGATTTCCTTAACTCTAGAAAATCTCCTGGTTCACGGTCGTCAATGTACCAAGTATGGGGGAAATATTATATTTGCAGACAATCAACATTCCTGTATCGAATGCACGTCTCTGAATTTTTTCTGTTTAACTTGTATTTTTTGAATTATTTTCTAACGATAACAATACCGTTACAATTGACTGATATGTTTGCAGTATTGATAATCAGACTAGAACAGAAAGATGAAGAAAAAGAATAATTGTATATATATATACATATATCTTAAATGTAAAATTTGTAGCTAAAGAAAATTAAAGCTAATACATCGAAAACGTCTACAAAAAATGAAATTACTGAAATTAGCACAACTGATTTCATCTTTGTTCATTATTATCACCACAAACAACGTTGCTATATATTTCCATCAATAAATAGATCATATACTAAACGAAAGGATATAGTTATATATTCCTTATCTAAACGTAGGTAGTTTCAACACTCTCCTTGGATACTTACGTGCTTGAAAAAGACATTTGGACAAAAAGATGACACAGGATCCTTAGGCCAATGTGATATTAAAACTATTAGTAATCAAGGCACGAATCCGATGATCTCTTTAAACTTAAATTTTCTCTGTGATAATGGAACAATTTTCAAGTCAATTACCAATCTTTTAGTTTTATATGAATTGTGAAACAGGACTTGATGAAATTAGAAAGTGGATTTTTGACGCGACTAGAAGCAATGGCGTAACTACGGGGGAAGGTCATTGAACCATCGCTCAATGCGATTTGAGCCTTGATCCAATGAGATTTTGAACTTGTGATTTTATAAGCTGAAAATTTGAAAAAAGATTTTTTGGTCCGGTACTTTCTCGAATTATTGTAGTGTGGCCCACCCGTTTTTTCCGAACTAGTGAAGTTGGCCCAATAGTAAAAAAATCCAAGCTACGCCACTGGCTAGGAGTGAGATATAATTTGATAGACCAAACATCTGAAAAGAAAATGTATGTCTCGACTGGGGATAGAATCCAGCATCCTCTGGTAACAGGACAGAACTCGCTGTACGAGGGATGCTGGGTCATTATTCGAGACTCTGATAGTTAAATCATTCGTGTGATAATATCGAACAGTGAAACCAATCGTGCTAATTTCACAATAGGATCCTATGAAAAATTTGGGGGTTAGGGAAGTTGAAAATCCTGCTGAAGAATGTTGTGCTTTTTGCAGCACAAAAGGAATTAATTTGGAAAATCGAAGTGCACAGCACTGCATTTTCGGAGGGTTTTGTGTTATGGCTAGAAAAGGAATGCTAGGCGCTTAAAATGCTGCACAGACCTTTAGAAAACTAGGCTATATTATTGGCTCCATTGTGTAAAGCTAAACGGTCACTTCATGCGTGTATTTTGCATATCTACGCCGTGCATTCTAGATGTTCACTGGGAACGGACTTGGCGCTCACTTTCAGTGTCATTTATGCACTTTTCTTTACAGTGTATGTTTGTGTTAGCCAAATTCTCTGTGAACTAGCTCCATAGCATGAATGAAGGATTTCCAAATAGTTTACATCTTCGTGCAATTTTATAAATAAAAAGCAAGAATTTATTATAAACAAATTTTAAAACGTTCTATAGAAATCTAAAACTTCACCACTGGATAAAACTTGTAATGACCACCATTCGAACATTGTTAAATGACAAATGAAATTACTTGTGCTTTAAACAATTGTTTCCAAAATATGTATGGTGTAAATCACTACGCATGCTGAGAGAATAATAGTTAGAAAATAAATGTGGCCATCGGTCGCTATTGCATAAATCAAAAACTACATTGATATGCATAAATTAATAATATGTCGCTAATTGATAATGGAATATTGTTAACATAAAACTCATTATCATTAAAACTGAATATTTTTGTAGATACCGATCGATACTGGTTGCTGTATCTGTTATTTGTGACAAATATACTGACGTTTCTTGACGTGGTAATCGATGTAATTCTTCTTCTATAAATATAGCAATAAAACAGATAAGTCCTTCTCCTAGTGAAAAATCTATTTTCAAGAGAGACTCTCCGATTTTTATGAAACTTTCAGCGAATATTAGTCCTTTAATAGAAATTCATAGAAAACATTTCATATCAGAATCTTCACTTTCTCAAGAGACTAAAAGATTAGAGTCAATAACAAGATCTTCACCTTCTCCTCTACTTGAAGCCACAAAAACATCGCCTTCGTCTATGGCATAGTAAAGTTTGTTTCTTAACGTTTCGCCTACATTTTAGCTTACCAACTCATAAGCTAGTTCCTGATCAGAGAATGTCATTGTGTCAACTTTTCTCTTCACCTCAACGACAACCCGAGCATTGGGGCAATTCAAATAGACGACACATCTTGTCAACAGCGACAGATCGAAGTCAACAATGTCTTTCTGAACACACTTTACTATACTTGTTGAGAAGGTGATCTTAAAACTGATTCCTAAACATATTCTTATAAGGTTTCGATCATGCTGCATCTGATGCACATGTGCCGCGTTCTTTGTGCAGACATTTTTTCTAGAATTACCACTTTTATTAAGAGACGATGGTGGGTTTTTCAGAACCTTGCTGAGAAGCCTTAAGAGCGCGATTAGAAGAAACGTACGGCAATCGAAAGAGAAGACAATTAATTATTACATCATGCGTTTATCTCAAAATCGATGTTTTTGAGGAAGTACCTTAAAGTGAGTAAAAACGACAGAAAAACTGATAATTCAAAGGAGGCTGAGATGATTTGCCCTTAAGGTTATTGTTTAAAACGATGAATAATGCGCATCAAAAAGTCAGTAACTGTACCGAAGTTTATGCCTGTTTTATTTTTGAAATTAATAAGGCTTTAATTATTCTATTTATGTCCAGTGATCGTTCAAACGATCATTACTTTAGATATCTACAGTTACTAACGAAAGACTGCATAAATCATTTTGACGCATATCCCTATGTATTTTATCGTGAAGATTTGAGATCAAATTATTGCACGTGCACCAGTCGAAATCCTTACATCTCCTTCCTCCATCCAGATACTTCAACTCTCAGATAAATTTTGGCACAAACGGGTTATACTCCGAAATAATGCGTGCATTAGAAATATTAGATAAAGGTAATTTTCTTTGTCGGTAATACTACACTTATATGCTAAGATTTCTCAAATTTAAACAGTTGCATCCGAATAAAATGTACTTTTACTGTTGACGTCCTGACCAATTTGCGTTATTAAAACTTAACCTACTTGTTCGTCGTTGTACGTGAACAGTTGTTTGTAATGTTTTATATTGACATGTATAATTTCCAGCTATTTTATCATCGATTCGACGTGTATGCTTTCTTCCATTCAAATAGACTGTTAAACGTTGTGTATTATAATTTAATATTTCAATGTTTATGTGATCATTTGGAAGAATATTGTTCACTAATTGTCCATTAAATAACCAATGAATCGGTAATAAACTATCGAATTTATCGCTACTTTGCTCACATAGCAACGAGCAAGTGAGAGAAAATGTACGATTAACAGGATACACAATAATATGTTTTGGATGAACATCGGGCTGAGCTAAAATATAAAAGAGAGATCTCAAGCAGAATTGATCACATAACAATCTTCAATACGATTAATTTCAATTCGAAATGTGATTAGATCAAGAAGACTATTATCCATTACAATTTTTAAGATTAAGTTGTCAAATAAGATAGGACTATTCTCTTCACTTGTTAGAATATACTTACAATTCACAATCAGTTCTACTGTTCTTCTTATTTGTGAATTTGTTTTACATGTATACATTCCATAATCGTCATTTAAAATATTAGTAATTGATAATGCGGAACGTATGTATTCACTATTGTTGTTATTATTTATTAAATATTCTGATGGTAACAATTTTCTTGATGTTAAATCAAAACGTCCTCGTTCAGCATATTCACGAAGTACAATATCACCAATAGAGATATACGATGGACGACTATGAGATGGATTTTTTCTGTACCAATATACCTAAAATAAGATATTTAAAATATATCTTCAAAAAATATATTGATATTTTAGTACTCACTACTTCATCTGTTTTTATCGAACTAATTGGACAAGTTAGAATAACATTGGTACCACAAGCAACATGCATTATTTCCATACTATTATTGTTAATATTATTGTATAATGATGATAAAGCATGTATTTGATGCTCTAAATGAATTAAAAACAAATTATGTTGTTTAGAAAAATAAACAATATAGGTACACTATACTTTGTAACTCTTGTATTGTCATCAACAAAACAACGAATATAAATGTGAAACAATCAGATAACAGTGACTTTATCATGGTGTTGTAAAGAATACATCTCGTCTAAAAAATAGATAATTGAATTGAAGAATTTAATTTTCTATTGTTATTACGTCTTGGTATACTCGTCATAGAATCGAAAAATAAAATATTCTAAATTATTATTATTATTTGCATGAGTGATGTTTTCACACGAGAGAAAGAGAGAGAGGGAGAGTCGTCTATGTCTGTATTCATCGATTCAACAGAGGCTATGTATTACAAATTTGATTTTTTTTTATCATAAAAAAGCAACAGCCACAAAAAACATTCCTCTTATACAAAACTCTTGTTTAACATAATATTATTAAAATACTATAAATCGGGTGAACAGATAGATAAGTTATTAATTCAAACTATTACTAAATTGTGTATGACTCGTTCGTATCTTTAAAACTTACGTTTTCATTTTACTTTATTTATCTAATCGAATTTTGTCGTCGTCATCGTCTATCAAACAAAAAGGCAAATTTTTAATTTCTTTGATCATTGTGATTTACAAAAGAAGTTAAAAATATCTATCTTTCTTTATATAGAGTTATTTACAAGTGATGAATGACTTTTTGTTTCTTGTTCTTTTTATTAAACATTAATATACATGCACATATCTTTAACAAGTAAAACATAGACATCCAGTCATCGGCTTTAATAACTCAAACGAAACCCATTGATATAAAGTACAATAACAATCAAAATCTCATTTTAAAATTCAAGTCTGAAATTAGTCTAGGATATATAGATACAGGTATATTCAACTATACAAATAAACAACGATTATACTTTGTCCTTTTTAAAACACCTATCATGATGTATGTAACCCTGATAATTTAACTCTCTTTTACTTTCTCTTTGTAAAAACGAAATACAGATTGGAATTGATCTTTTCACAAACTTAGATGTTATGACAAACGCACACATATGACGATTCATATCGTCATCATCATCATCATCATCATTATAATAGAGTGACCGAACACAAGATAACAATAGAAAAGGTGATAAATTTCATGCACAATTCTCTCTCAAGTGAACTAAATTATTCATGTACATACGTTTTTGAACACTTAATTTAACAGATTATATTGCTGAATAAAGAAAAACTTATTCTCCCTTCGTTTATATAATGCACGCAAGACATACGCCTTAAAATATAAAAAAACAAGAAATATGCTTTAGAGAGTAAGTACAGTTTTTATTCTTGTATTAACTCTCTTCTTATTCTATTTAAGAAATTTTTTGTTTCTGTTTTTTAATGAACCTGTAAACGATTTGTTAAGTTAGGAAATATAAATTGATGAAATGCATCATTTATTTTATACAATAATCTAATTGAGAAAAAAAAATGACATTTCTCTTCTGATTTTTTTCTGCTTTGTTTGTGATAGATCACAATGTCTTCTCATTCCATTTATATTTGTGAACATAAGTAGTCTATGTCTATTAATATGATTATGTAAGATTTATTTCTTTTTCTCTATCTCTCTATTAAATGTGCGTTCTTCTCTTTGTTTGAACGATGCTTAAATCGCCACGGGAGATGCACTCACACGGCAGCTGATGATTAGAAAACAGAAGACACAACATCTTCTTATTTACTGAACATAAATCCCCTTCTGTGAGTGAGTGAGAGTTAGTATTCTAATTGGATTCGTCACAATATTGAATATTGTAACAGACACTTTATCAAACACAGTTGTGAGTAACTATATAGTTTAAATTGAACTGTTTATTATAGTGAACTGTAAGTTGTGAATGAGATTTTTCATGTTAAATAATCAATTTTCAAGCAACAGCTGACTATTCTTACTATATGAAAGAGCTTATTATAGAGCTCAAAAGAAAAGTCTAAGAAAATAAAAATGCATATTAAAACCAAAACTTCTGTATCTTTGAATCAGCATTTAATCTCTCTGCATATTCACTTTTTATAGATTAATGTTTGAACTAGTCCCAAAGTAGATTCTTCTAAAAAAACAGTAATATTAGCCTATTCCTATTGTTTTCTGTTATAGACACTTACTCATCAATATATTGTCTAGTCTAGTTTCAGAGACAAAACACCAATGACACAATTAAATTACATTCGTTTCATACACATATAAATCGTTGTTTAATAAAAAAGGAAATTTGATCTATCTTCTGTTTTTGTTGTTAACTTCTTGATGAATAAATAACTTTCGTATTCAATTACATGAGAAAAGCATACTAGACAATTACTAACAACTGTTATTTAAGTGTTGTTTATACTTACAATTTCAAAAAAACAAGAAGTGACCATTGATCATAATATAAATTATTGTAATAAAAGTAATAATTTATTCTTGCATTAAGTATACTAGTGTGCGTGTGAAAAAGTTAATATAAGTTTAATCGTTCCTTCTTTTTTTTTGCTCTCGCTAACTATATATGTAGCTATACGGAATAAGTTAGAATATTGATGATAAATAATAATGAAAATGACACTCTCACACTACCATTTACAGTCTAAATAGTTCTGGATACACAGTTCAGTTTATTTTAATCTCTTTTTATGGATTACAAATAACACATTTATATTATTCAAGGAACCGTACATAAAATCATAAGGTCAAGTCACGCGGTTACTGTCATTTGTAGATAGTTATGTTGGAATTTCATTGAAGACATTGTAGCCTTGTTGATAACAATGGTTAGCTTATATCTGTGATGACAAGGTGATATCCTTGTAGTTTACGTATTGAACAAGTAGATGATCTCTATAACTATACATCTAGATATCAAATTACAGGTAGCACGTTTAATTACGAAAAGTTATTGAATTAGTGTACTATTCAGTATATTTTAAGTTAAAAAGCATGAAAATTTTTGTCATTGTAATAACGCATACGTACGTCCATTCCACCATATGTGGAATCAAATTGCAAGTATCTTCAACCCAGTCCCAATAATAACATTGCATGAGCAGGATAAGATGTAGAAAAAAAAGATTATTAGATAGATAGTATCGAAAAGCTGTACTGTTAATTAATGTGCTCTATGAATGAAACGGATTGTTTTACTGCAACTGTACTATTATTTTTACGTTTTTTCTTCTTTTACGCAACATATCCTATGTAATCAATCATCACAATTGTCCTTATGTTCTTTTTTCTTCTTTGAACAAATGTTCATATCCTTTCTATATTGGGGTTGCGTTTGTAGCTCATTCATCTTAATTTCCTTCATTGTAGTCAATATATGAACAACACCAACAATTTCTCGTACTAAAATGTCCCATGAGATAATATGTCCATTCATCATTAATCCAATTAAACTCAACACCTCTATCAGCTGATTTCTTGACACAACGCAAGATTCATTTGCGAATGGCATGGACATAATGGATGATGATCACAAACAGAAAAACAATAAATGAATAATTTTGAATTAAATATTTGACTATAGGAGGTTCGATTTTTCCTTCTAATAATGGTGTAAAAAAGGGAAGAAGCTCCTTCGAGAACAGCATCGTGTCAATATGTCGAAACAATCATAGAATTCAATTTTTTTGCTTCTTCTACGTAAACGATTGATCTATATGATAAATCTAAGAAAAATTTATTCTCTAGACAATTTGAAATAATCAAAAATATTTGAGAAATAGTTAATCACAGTTACAATTGACATTTTTTATTCATTAGCGCATTTCGTTAAGCTTATACACCAAGGTTTATCATAAAATCATTCTCAGCTGATCAAAAATTTTACTAATCATCATTTTTTACGAAGGAGAATTAGTAACTCTGATAATTTTGAATACTCAATTGTTTGAGTTAAATAGAAGAGCGAGATATTAATGCAAACATTTGACAAACGTATGCTACAAAAAAAGAATGACCACTAATAATACACTTACTTACCATATTCTAGAAAATCTTACTCTATTCATACAGACGTGGATTTTCTGTTTTACTAGTTATGATATATTCATAATTAATAATTTTATTTATTAGCATTAACATATCATCTGACAACCAGACTGACAAATGAATGATGAAATGACGTATAGAAAAGTCATCATCATATTATAAAATCAGTAAACTTTATTCGCATCATCGACAATAGATTGTATAAACATAAATGAACATTAATCTCTTCTTCTTTCTTCTATTCATATATGGTCCTTCCCTTCTATTGTATTTGTTGTTCATAATCATAGAAATGACGTTTATTTGATACATCGATATACATACTCGATTACGAACATCAAACATCATGAAAATCACTTTACTATTATCTTTACCATCATACTCTCCATAACACAGTTAGAAAATGTAGTTAACCAATGATAACGAATTTGAAATGTGATTGTTGATCATTTTTCTTAAAAATTTGGAATTTATTTAAATGTTCAATGTTATGTTCACACTCAAATTATTTTAATTTTCATCGACATTTTCAAACATCAGTCTATTATACTTTAGTTCTATACTTTTATTCTGAACATCCATTGTCATACACGTTATCCTATGATACAAAAAAAAAACAACAACCAACTAACGAATCATTTTTAAAAAATATTGTTTAAGCATTATAAAACCAATTTTAGTTCACTGACCGAACGACTCGATTTATAACTAGCTTATTTCGTGTTTTATATTTTTTCATTCATAACCTGTCAACTAACTGTCTTCAACAATCTTAAATGGTCTGTCAACCATACTCGTCATCATTTCAATTAACCAAATGATGAATATGACGATTCATTTATGGTCAATAAAATTTGAAATCGAAAAGTCAAAAACGATTGGCATTGATAACCGCTCATCATTTTTTCTATTCATACAACATATTGACTTGCATGAACAACGTATAAGAACATAATAACATGCGATGCATGCTTATACTTTGTGAGCGATTTAAACTTTTTGTTATATTTACATGGAGATCACTCAGTTTTATCTCATAGGATAAAGGATGAGGCATTGAAATTTCTCCTTGAAAAAGTGAAAAAAAGAAGAAATGTTCATATGTTTACAGCAGACAATTGTCATCTTTCATTTCCGTTAAGTGAAATAAATAACCTTCTCCCTTTTCCTTTTTAATATTAGAGATTATCGATAATAACAATGCGGAAGTTATCTTTGTTTTAAAAAACCACTAAAACACAACATAATATCCGACAAGAAACAAACAAATGAATGAAAAAAAAAATAACGAAAAATATATGTATATTTACTTAAACTACAGTGAAGAAAAAATAGATTTAAACAATCTTCCTTAATATACTTCTATGTTATTAAAAAGAAAAAATGAGAGATGTTGAACACTATACCGTTAATTGCATTTCCCAGGTGTGTTTTAACATTTTCAAGAAACCAAATTTATACGTTAACTTCTTGTTTCTGACAGAATAAAATATCCTCTCCTATAATCTCCGACAGAGTTTGACTGCTAATAAAAATGTATCTGAGTTGATTAGTTTTCGAAAAGTTGTCTTGTTCATCTAGTAAAATTTAATATCTTGTAGGATAATTCTCAAGTTTTCCGAATTCTTACTTGTTATTCTATAAACGCACAATTTGTTTACAAATAAAAAAAGCAAAACGAAAAAACAAATTAATATGGACGATAATTCATTAATAATATATATCATTTCTTGCAAATAGAAATTTTTCAAATTCATCAAATTGTACATTTATGGGTTTTTTTCGGTATATTAGAAATATCTCCTAACCATTGTAATATGAGAAAGTCCATCGCTATTTCTCTTTTTTTCTCTACTCAAACATATCACTTTAAAAAATGAGTATATACTACTTAAAATTTTACTAAAATATTATCAAATCAATACATACTTAATGACTTTTTAAATTGTTCTCACATCATTGAAGGAGTATGTATACAAGAAAGAATCTCTTTTCGATTACAAAATATTACTTGCAAACAGAATAGGAAAAACCAAAATAGAGAAGAAAATTCTTGAAGTGCATAGAGCGAGAGATATACAATGGGAGAGAGATAAAAAGAGAATAAAGACACAGAGGAAAGGATAATGCGTTGATGATAAAGAAGAGCAATGAGCGTGTCTGTTCATTTTTACATGTAGATTACTTCCTTTTGTGATCCCATAATGTGAAAAAATTTCTAAATTCTACGTTTCTTTCCTTCTCGTAAAACCTACAATTAAGACATATAATTTACACGAGAGATAAAAACAGAATTGAAAACCAATCAGAAACAAAATTTGATAAGCAAATTAGTTTTACATGAATAAACTAAAAGTTTTCTTTTTCTCTTCTTTTCCACCTTTATATAGACCTGGGCCACTAAGATCAATCATGTCTTTTTTTTTCAATAACCATACATCCTGAATTATTGAGTAAGATCTTATTAGTCATTTCTTTTTTTTTTTCATATAATAATAGAGAAATGGATACGGAAATAAAGACTTCCGCTTAGTTTAATGGTAATGGGAAAACGGATGTACCAATAATGCCACCCGTGTACAAAAGAAAGCTTTTAATTTTGAAATAGTATCAACTATTGCGACGTACACACAAGGACTAAAAGTTTTTCACTTGTACTATTATAGTTTTAAAATACATTTATCATCAAATTTTTCTGTTGAGTGTAACTGATAGTTCGTATATCTGTACTATGTACTAAAAACATTTACAATCTATCTTTGGATTCTTATAAGTCAAAAACTAATGAAATTAAAGAATATTAGACTATAGTTAATTTAAACGTCCTGTTAAGTTGAAAGAATTGACTTTGAAATGACAAGTAAAATATTCTTATTAAAAATCTGTATATATTTTGCACAAAACAGGAAAATATACGTATATTCGTTTATCAACTTCGATTCAGTATCTTCTTAAAAGTGATACAAATCCAACATCATCATAGGCGATATTCAAAGTGAGTGAGTTTTCGGTAACATATATTAATTAAGTCGTACCTCTTTTGAGACGTAATCCTTATATTCAAATTCGACATACACGTTTTTTTCTTTCGCTCTTTGTCTCTCTCAAAACAGAGTGCTTCGTTTTTTCTGTTCTGTATACTCATGTAACATAGAACCGCATTCATTTACTATACTGAAAATAAAACAACCATGGTGGCAGTAGTTAAAGAAATAGTAGTTGTAATGGATTCAAAATATTTTTTTTCATAAATTTTATATGTCGAGAAGTTGAAAGATGTCATTGTTCTTGATAAAAATATCTGCGCAGATCACGATTAACAAATGTGCACAGTTTAGTAATCTATCAGTTGGAAAATTTAAAACTAATCATATCGCTGAGTTTTAAAATTCTTTAAAATTAAATTTTATCGCGATAGTGCTTATATTTTTCTTTTCTGATTGTAGATACAATGAATAGCCTACGTCATAGAGACATGAATATAGTAGAGCCATTAGCAGAAAATGCTGAATGGGTTCACGAAAGTTCAGCCCAAGTGAGTAAAAAAATGATAAACTTTATACAACGCTGGCTTAGGAAAAAACATGTGTTGTTGTTTTGCTGAAGATCTGCTAATTAAAAATAAGGTCGATAGGACTCACAAGCAACATGCTTCTCACACTTGCAAAAGTTAGCGATTTCTACCCTCTTCTTCGTCTGGATTTTTGATTTTTTGGTCGAGTAGATTGAAAGTCTAAAAAGTTCGCTTTCTTTAGTTTTTAAATTGTATTTAAATCTTTCTTCGGTGAAGTTTTCATTGCTTTATTGATAATGTCATTGATTACAACTACTAATTAACGAAATGATGGACAAATCTCTATCTAGATTTTTTCTGCCTTAAGCGTGACAACGACCGTATTTCATTCATCTATTATTAAAATTTATAATCGTGTGATGTTTCCCTATTCCTAGTATGGTCTAACACACATATTTGCAGCAAAATAATAATTAATCTTTCACCTTTCCCGTATGAAAAACAAAGTGTGTAAGATTCTATTACAACACAAATATGGTCTATCTGTGTTAAACACAATATCTACTTGAGACTACCCATTCTCTCTTTCTCTCTCTCTCCTTTTTTTTCGCCAGTTTTAATTAGGTCAGAGCGACGTCAATTTTGTGTAATATACATATAGAAAAGCAAATCAAACTATCAATGTTATAGTATAGGTGTCGTAGACGTAGTTCTTTCTATAATCAATCGACATAATAATAAAAATTAATTCATATCGCAAATCTTTATGTAGAGCGTCATCCAGCGTAAAATCACGTTTTTAAATTAATCAGTATGCTGTGCTTATGTAGTCCATGTCACTTGAAATATGATGCTATAATTGAAAAGAGAATATAGAAGAATGTGATGTGTTGCTTTGATGTACATAGAGAGAATATAGTAGAAATACAATTCTTGAAAATAACATAGAATTCAACACTTTTTGAACATAGATTCAATATTGTCTGTGAACTTATTTAAGGTACAAATCAAATTATATCATGGTCATACTGGTCCAGTTAATTCCTGTCAATTAGTTGAAAATAAAAATTTAATTTTAACTGGATCAAATGATAATACGGCAAGACTATGGGAATTTAACACCGGAAAACAGTTAAATGTTTACCAACTCGATCATCACATGCCAATTCCATGTGTTAAAATGAATCATGATGCGAGCCGGTAACATAGAACACTCTTCATACATAACAGAGGAAATTTATTATCGGGAAGAGAATCCTCTATATTTTGATATATAATATATTTTTTTGTTATTGTAATTTAGTTTATATTCATGTTCTTGGGATAAAACTTTAAAATGCTTTGATATGGAGACAGCTAAGGAAATTGTACGTATTCTAAAATTCATATCAAGAAAAATTATAAATATTTATATCTATATATTTCAGTGGAAAGGTACCCATGAACATATTGTTACTTCATGCAATGTTTCACACACAGGTAATATGATATGTAGTGGAACAGACTTGGATGGAATATTAACAATATGGGATCCGATATCTGGCAAAGAAATTACTACCGTTCCAAGTAAGTAATCATAATACTATATTTTCAACTATCTTTTTCTATTTTAACTATTGAGAAACTTTCTTATTTGAAGACGTTCATGATTCAACGATAACAAGTTGTCAATTTAATACTAAAGATGATCGTGTTATAACAACATCGGCGGACAAGACGACAAAATTTTATGATTTAGTATCGCGTCGTATTACAATAACGTTAAGGTAATTTAAATATGATTGATCTTTTTTCTTTGTCTCTCTCTGGACATGTCACGACTTTTCACCACCTCATCTTATATTTCCACATATTTGATTATATAACTCAAGAGATAGAGAAAGACCATTAATCAATTGTTTTCTGACCTTTGTAATATACACGTCAATAACAATATCAAAAATTAGCTTTTGTTATTGACACTTGTCTTGACTATTCGCTAATTTGTTTTTGTTCATAGAAGAAACTATATTATATAATCATCTTTGTGATGATGTAAGAAGCACTAATCCTATTGCAAATCTTGACAGCTGTTTCATATTCAAAATAAACAGGAAAAGATTTTTGTTTGTTATCAAACTAATTGATTTACATGATATTTAACATATCTAATCAGTAATTCTGATGTAATATAGAAGAACCTCTCAGCTTAATTTAAACAAGGTTAAATAAAGTTATATTATAAAGACGCCGCAAATCAGGTTACTTGTCACATTATGAGTGATGACAACTATTACGAATTTGTTCTAATGAAGTCTTGATAACAAGTAACATTCATAATTAATATGTTAATGAAATATTGTGTCAAAAATTGTCGATAGCACTACTTGTTTTATTCTTAAAAAATATTTTTTATATCAGAAACAGCATATTCTAACGATCACTTTTTTGAATTAGATTAAGATCATGTTTTGTTTTATTTAGTTTAGAGGTCATGAAAACGTCGTTTCGAGTTGTTCATTTAATAAACTCGAAAGACTTTATGCAACTTGTTCATGGGATAAAACAATTTTATTATGGGATGCTGTGACGGGTAATTTCAGGTAGGAGAGCACTACAAAAACATGTTGATAACCTGTTATAACAGCTGTGAACATTCGTTTTCTCTCCATGAGTCAAATAAATGAGCATCAAACAGTGTTACAATCGGAATTATATACTTTTACAAAAGTTGACTATCATCATTAATATCAATCGGATTAAGAATTAAACACGCCTACCTGCTGAGTTTCTTCGTTTATTATCACTCCCTCATATTCTCTCATTAATTGACATTTACCGATAGATATAGTGATGTTGACATGCATATGAGCGTGCATTTGACCATTTTAATCATCACCTTGAATATGACCTATCTATGATTAATTTTAAGACGTGAAGGACCAAATTCATTACCAAAACTGCATGAAGGTTCAATTAGTTCCTGTTTCATGTCAGATGATAGTAAATTACTTGTCACTGGAAGTTATGATTTGCGAGTGGTGTTATGGGACGTTGAAAATATGACCCATAAACTCGTTCTTCGGGTATGTCTAATTTCTTTAATTAAATATAAATCATAAAAAAAGTATAAAAACTTATCTTTAGGGTCATAAAGATTGGATTAATGATGTATGTTTAACATCTGATAATAAGTGGATTATATCCGTATCAAACGTGAGTACTACACATTCATCATACAAACTAAAAATTTCAAAGAAATATTTTTAGGATTGTGACATTCGTCTGTGGAATATTAAAGACGTTGATAAAATTAAACAAGTAGCAGAACAATACAAAAATATGAACTCAAAAATCGTTAATGTGAGTAACCATTTTATAATTTCTCTATGAATATCTCACTGTTTAGCATTGAGTACTAGCATTTTCTTCCACTAAAAAAACAAACAACAATATAAAATGAAAGACGGCTGATAGGATGCAGACAATTTTCACATGCCTATTAAATCGATTTTTTCTTTTTATAGTGTTCTCATTGTGGCAAAAGTTTTTCATCTACAAAACTTAAACGTAATAAAACGGATGCTAATTCTATATTATGTGTTTTTTGTCGATTACAAACTCGTCAATATTTACATATTGAATCTGAACGACAAAATGATTTACCAATTTCAAATGTGAAGCAATCTCAAATATTAACCTCAAATGATATAAACAACACTACTCAACAACAACATGACGAGCTCCATTAAAAAATTCAGTATTCTTGTTTTCTAAATATACGTAATGCTCTTTTTACTGTTCTTAATTGGAACGTTATTTTTTTCGTATACATTTTCTTTTAACTACATAAATAGTTTTGAAACTGTAAAGTAACAAATAACCATCCTTGAAAATCATTTATATTTGACTGGATGACAAAAAGACAAAAAAATGAGCAATAATCACGAAAATAAAATTATTTTGATCCTAATTTACAAAATTCATTCAAACAAAACATGCAAAAAATCATAGATTTGAAAAAAAAATTTTTATGCTAAAAAGTTTTAAAAAGATCATAGAAATAAGCATGTATCAGATTTCAGTTCATTTTTTATAATAAAAAAACATGGTCTAAATCACGAAAACTGCATAATTCGTATAGAGAAATGACAATGTATGAATTAAATAGAATGGAAAGAAAAATGAAATGAGTTTAGTAAAGATTGTGGCATATTCAACAATGGTGTGTAGATCAAGGAGAGAGAAGCAGTGTTGAATAGACCATTGGATGGCTGCTCGCTCATGAAGGTAAAGAAGATATTGTTTAAGCAATTATAATTGAGATAATCGGAAGCAGGTGAATATCAAATCAAATCTAAAAACTAGTGCACAGAAACTAATGTTCTGACTGATTACCCTGTTTTGAACATATCATAAACAATGTTATAGTCAAACACACTTTTTGTTCTGTTTAATTTTCGCAACTGGACGTTTCATTGTTGATAACGGTGGAGCTCGTCTCGCTTCAACCGGTTTTTGTTTTTGATGCACATTCTTCTATTTTTTTCATTTGTTGTAGAAGTTATTAGAAGTTCTTATAGATGAAAACGAAGCCTAAAAGCCGCCTAATCTAATGGAAAAAGAATTAACTCAATACCTACTTTTCTTAATTATAGATATAAGTTTTTTAAAATTGTTGTGATACTAACAACAGCTGTATACTTTATTATTTATTTATTCGACGTTTCGAAAAAAATAATAAAGTAAAATAAAGTATGAACCTCAAAACAGCTGCCGTTATTATCAGAACAATCTATCTTCCTCTTTGACCATGGCGTCCATCTTTAAAGACCCCATTTCAGAAATAGCCAACTTTCGGTCCCTCTAACTTCAGTCGAATTTTTTCATTTTACTCTCATTTGTATTCATGGAACTCTACAGAATAGTGGTAAAGATTTTTTTCGCCTACTTCGTTTTCGCCCTCGTTTACCCATCACAAAATTGGCAGCACTGATTCTATATCATGTGAGAACCGAGAAAAAAAGGTTTATTTTAGCTTTAAAATTTGATTTTTTCAATAAACTGGTCAGCTTTCAATTAAGCGTTTATAATCGTCCGATATATTTCCAACTGGTGTAAACATTGAGTGACAGTGCCTAAAAAGAACTAACTTCCCATTCGTTTTCTTTTACTGTTCTTGACTCTGTAGACAAACATGCTTCTCGTGTTATTTGACTTGTGAGTACTGACTCACATGTCGTCGAACAGTAGCCAGTTTCGATGGCTCGCAGTGCTCGTTGCGAAAATTTGCGACAAACAATTTTTTATTTTCTACAGTACAGTAGAGTTGTATTTATATTTCATATTAAAGTTACTGCCAAAGACTCGGTGATTGTGTTCTCATATAGAAAAAGAAAAGAAAATATATAAAGAACGAAAAAATAGGAATTCTGCAAAATCACGCACAAAGTTTCAAAGTTTGAGTACATGCTGCACCATTCTACGGGATTACAGAACGTGAAATGACACATAGTTCGCATGTACTCGACGTGTGCTACTAGAAAAACAGGTTTTCATCAAGGGCCAAGAACCTTTAAAACAGGTGCTTTTCCAGCGAAAATCTCACCGGATTTCCGTCTGTTTCGAAGATTCTTGGCCCTTGAACGAAAGTTGCAAAAAAGGCCTACTTTTCGGAAAAAAGGATTTGTTTAAAATTTTTCTGAGAGCGTACTTAACATTTTGGAACATTTTGTCCGCTACTGATTTTGTAGCTCTGCACATATAGAATTTAATCTGACTGTGCCAGCTCATGAAAATGTTTCACTAGAAAATGATGAAAATGCCCACAAACGGTCTGTTCTGCTGGGAAATGAGATTTCCACAGATCTAGAACTCCACCATACCGTTGTTTTAAAATTTTTTACTACTATTTTTTACTACTTTTTTACTAGTTTACTTTTTATTTTTATTTTTCTATTTATAGATTCTTTTTGTTGTTATTGTTTGGATCGAGTCATTGTTATTATAGGTCGCGGACCTTCGATGACTCCCATTTTTCGTGAATAAATCATTCGTTTATTCATTCATTGCCATTGATGCTTAATGCTTTTCAATTATATTAGATGGTATCAAATGTGAGAATTCATATTTCTTTAATAACGAACTATGATCTGTATTCATACATAAACTGAAAACTTTACTATCCGAGTAAGCGCGCTCTCTAGCATTATACCGTCAAAGTATTATGATTAGCTGATTTTTCGATCAATCACCACCTAAAAACATTACTCGTCAAGTTAAGGTATTTGTACGATTTCCTCAAAACAAAAACATCGATTTTGAGATAAACGCATGATGTGATAATCAATTGTCTTCTCGTTCGATTGCCGTACGTTTTTTTCTTCTAAATCGCGCTCTCAAGGCTTTTTAGCAAGTTTCTGAAAAGCCACCATCGTCTCTTAAAAAAAGTGGTTATTCTAGAAAAAATGTCTGCACAAACAATACGGCACACATGCATCAGATGCACCATGATCGAAACCCTATAAGAATATGTTTAGGAATTAGTTTTAAGGTCAGGGGGCCGTATCACAAAAAAGCTTAAGTCAGACTTAAGTCTTCGTTATGTGCACTTACGTGCTAATTTTATGCAGTTAAGTGTGACTTAAGTCTAGACTTTAACCTAAGTTTTTCGTGATACGACCCCCAGCTTCTCAACAAGTATAGTAAAGTGTGTTCAGAAAGACATTGTTGACTTCGATCTGTCGCTGTTGACAAGATGTGTCGTCTATTTGAATTGCCCCAATGCTCGGGTTGTCGTTGGGGTGAAGAGAAAAGTTGACACAATGACATTCTCTGATCAGGAACTAGCTTATGAGTTGGTAAGCTAAAATGTAGGCGAAACGCTAAGAAACAAACTTTACTATGCCATAGACGAAGGCGATGTTTTTGTGATTTCAAGTAGAGGAGAAGGTGAAGATCTTGTTATTGACTCTAATCTTTTAGTCTCTTGAGAAAGTGAAGATTCTGATATGAAATGTTTTCTATGAATTTCTATTAAACGGACTAATATTCGTTGAAAGTTTCATAAAAATCGGAGAGTTCCTCTTGAAAATAGATTTCTAAGTAATGATCCCCAGGACAGATAGGAGTGGCGCAAAATGGATCGGCTCCCCTATATGAAGAAATGGTTACTGGGCATCTCTTAAAATCAGCAATCCGAAGCTTCTGCTCAGAAAGGCTCTCAGAAGAGTAGCCATTTTGCACTTCTATGAACTTTATCCTCTCTAAGCTGTGCGTATTATACAGCAGAACTTCTTCGCTGTTGATTAAACTTGCGTTGAGTAATTCACTTGTACAATTTGAGGCTAAGGCTATACCTTTTTTAGTGAGACAATGCCTGACTATACAATGGTTGAAATTTGAATTTCTGTTTCTTGTATCTAACTTTCTGTCGTTCTTTTGTTGTGTGTAGAAGTATTAGATACCTTGTGGAATATAGCCTATAGCTTGATTATCTCTTTCTAAGCTTCCAGAAAAACTCCCTGCTATATCAAAACCATAGCAGTAAGCAGAAACCGGCATGTGTCCGATTTATTGATATTTTAATGCAACTCGGTTAAATAAAGTATTCCTCAAGCATTTTCTTGTTTCGTTTGTTCAATATGAATTATTATTAATTGTTGTCTATGTTTATTCTCTTGAGAAAAATGCTAGTAAAGGCCTAAAGTTTGCTTTTCTCCTTTTTAGATGATCTGATGGATGTCTTTTATCGGTGTACTAGGTCTCCGATTCATGTTGACATGTATGGCCATCCTCACAGCATTTCTTTTTACGTGGCTATTGTTAGGCCGAGTAAGTCCAAAGCATTTTTTGACCTGTTAGTGAAGCATCTGCTTTATAAATCTGTTTGACTCTCATTTAGGTTCTTTCAAGTAATACTGTTGCAGTGGAAAAAAATATTATTAGTGTTGTTGGCAATGGCGGAGGCGGTGCTTATGTGCCATCAAAAGAAAATTCAAATGTTCACTATGGTGTTGTTGTAGATTGTGGTAGTAGTGGAACACGATTGTATATTTACGTATGGCCAGAACATTCTGGAAAAAAAAATAATTTACTTCAGATAAAACAATTATTAGATAAACAGGGTGTACCAATTGTTAAAAAGCTCGAACCAGGTAAAATGACAGTCCGTTTCTGTATCATGAAAACAAATTTATTTGTTATTTTGTGTTATTTAAAGGTCTATCATCAATGGTTAAAACACCAGGAAATGCGACGGAATATATGAAATCATTGCTAGGTCAGTTGACTGAATGAGACATGTACCTTTTCCAGGTGATTTTCAATTTGCTTAACGTTTTATTAATAGACTTTGCTGCAGAAGTTATACCAAACGATAAACATCGAGAAACACCTCGTAAGTATTTAAAATAGAATCCCTCTCAACTTAAAAATATTATTTTTACTTAATTATTTTAGTATATATATTTGCAACAGCTGGTCTGAGATTCTTAGCCCCCGAGTAATACCATTTGCTTTCGAAAAAAAATTATTGTAACCGTGATCGTTATCAATCTTAATTTATTTCAGTGAGCAAAAACAGATACTAGAAGATTTATTTACAGATATTGTACGTGATTATCGTTTTCAAATTGAAAAAACACATATACAAGTCATACCGGGCAAATTAGAAGGCATTTATAGCTGGATTGCAATCAATTATGTTTTAGGGAGATTTGAAAGTAATTCAACTGATTCTGGTATGTACTTCGTATTATTAACTGGTTACATACGTGAATATCAGCCTTTCTCATTTTAGTTTCTGTATCGGACGGTCATTCAATAAGTATATCACAACAACGTCAATCGACAGTTGGTATTCTTGATATGGGTGGTGCATCTGCTCAGATTGCCTTTGAAGTTGCTTCGGATGTACGCTAGAAATTCGTTTGTTTATGACAATAGTTCATATCCGTTCGTTTTTTTACAGACACCACTTGACAGTGATGATGTGGCCGAATTTTCATTGGGCACAGATGAACATAGTAGTTATTTCAAATATAAAATATACGTGACAACATTTCTTGGTTTTGGTGCAAATAAAGCGTATGATAAATATATCGAGCAATTGATTGTAACAAGCTATCCAGCATTAAAGTAAGTGTCATAAACGTTTAAAATCTCTTGTAAAAAATGAACCATATTTTTTTCGTCTAGTTCTTCACAAAATTCAACAAATGAGTATGTTAATACCGCTGCTTGTTTACCAAATGGATATATAACCAAATATGAACGTTCCAATCGAACAATAACCCTGTATGGTAATGGTAGTTTTTCTAATTGTGCAAAATATGTTTTACCCCTGTTAAATTTAAACGCATCGTGTTCACGAGCACCATGTTCATTAAATGGTGTCCACCAACCACTCATAAATTATGAAACAGCAGATTTCTATGGTTTTAGTGAATTTTGGTATACGATGGAAGGTATTATCATATACTCGACATTAACATTAATAGATTATGAGTTTTTTTCTTTAGATATTTTACGGATAGGTGGACCATATAAGCATCAAACATTTCTCAAGGCATCGATGGTAAGCTCATATCTCATTCCTTTTTAACTCTGGTGACATCCATTGTGTATCTTGATGAAAATTGTGTTTAATATTTAGAGTTACTGTGGTTCAAACTGGACAACGATTCGCTCATGGTATGCCAAACATTTATTTCCAAAAGCTGATTTAAATCGCTTGTTGTAAGTATGAGCGCTTGATTATATGTCAAATTATTTCTCATGATTTGATTTGATTTAGGCTGCAATGTTTCAAATCAGCTTGGCTTTATGCATTTGTACATGATGGTTTAAAGTTTCCCATGGACTACAAAGGATTAAAATCAGCCTCTTTGGTTAACAATCATGATGTTCAGTGGACCCTAGGTGCCATTTTATATAAAACGCGTTTTCTACCGTTAAGGTTTGTATTTGGCTCAATGTCCATTATATTTACTTTTATTTTCTTTCTGATCGTTTCTTTTTAGAACAATTAATCACATTCACTCAGCGACTCATTATCGCCATACTCACCAACACTCGTCAACAGTAATTTCTATTATATGTATTATATTTATTTTTCTTTGTCTATTACTATATCAACAAAAAATTCGTTCTAAATTACGAATGTATTTATCTCGACGTAATAATATATTATATGGTAATACCAATGGCTATTCAAATTCAAATAATAATCGTTATCAACAATTATCTTCTGTTATCATATCTTCCACAGCAGCTCCCTCTTTAATTCCGACCAATGGAATAGCCAACAGGCTACGGAGTGTGTAGATTTCCTTTCGAATTGGTGCACCTCTTATATTATTGTTGTTTGTTTGAGAAAAAAAAATGTATCTTCTGTACGCTTTTTTGTCTCTTGTTACATTTTTCATAAATTTTTCAATAAAAAAAAGCATTCTTTACAATAACAAAATTAATCTGTTATTAACGTCGAACTGAAGTGAAATTTATTCACCAGACAAAAAACAAAAAAATATACAAAATTCTATTTTTTAATTGTCGTCGTATTCAGTTTTTAAGCGTTTTCGTTTTTTCTCTTTTTTTGATTTTTTGTGATGACGTTCAACTGAAGGTGATGATTTGGGATCGTCTAAAACAATCGAAAAAAATTGATTATTAAATGATTATATCTCATCTTTATTCGTTACCCGCTCCAAATGGTTGACAGCGTATTCTTAGATTCGATGGATAGTCTGGTCTAAATATAACCGGCTTTGGAATACATTCACTTGGTGTTGTTAAATCTTGAACAAATGAAAATGTTTCTAACGATGAAGAGACTAGAATAAAAATCAATAACATAAGGAAATGCGTGTTTGTACTTGACTGTTCAATAAAAAAGAAAGGTACCTAATTGTGGTTGATCATTATTATCAAACTGAAAACAACGAAAATCTGCTACTGATGGCGTTGATTCGCTTTTGCGTACAGCTCGTAATTTAGTTTGCCCCTTTGAAGAAAAAAGAGATTGATTTAGTCTTATTACAAATAATAACGAAAAATATATACCACTGTAAATTGCCGTCCTTTTGTCAAATGTTTGTAAGACAATGGAAGTTCATCGATACTATTGAATGATTTCATGAGCTATAACAAACAAATAAAAAAAAGCTCAATTCTTCAATATGAAAAAAAACAGACAACGAACATACCGATTTCGGAAATAGTAATAGAATTGGTCTCATTGTATTGGTCTCCATAACCGTCTTTCATATTCTTAAACAGATAAATAATGCTAAAATCTAAAAAATAGTTTATCACGAGTCAAACTCTTGTTAGAATTTGATTTGGGTTTTTATGAAAATTTTTAACATGGTAAGAATATCATAAGGTGTTCAACAATCTACTTAATTCATTGCTAGTTCATAGTCATCCGAAGGCAAATTTTGACTGTTTTTTATTATTAAATGTATTACATTAAACAACATCACAACTGAATATCTAAAAATATTCTAGAACAAAAGAAAAGCACCGAAAACAGATTAAAGCTTGGCTTTTAAATACAAAAATCATAAATAATAGAAACAAATTAAAGAAATATAAATAATAAAATTCATCATGACTAACTATATATTGTTGCATACAAAACGGAATGACTAAAGCATTAATAGCGAGCAAAAAGAAATATTTAACTAAAAAAAATAACAACAAAAAATGAGATTTTAAAATCATATTGTTCTTGTTAGTTTTGAGCTATATTGACTATCTCACAGGCATCAGTCGAAGAATTATACACATCAATGGCTTTGGACAAATCTAACCAGTAAGAAAAAATATCGATTATAGTAGAAAAACCTTGTCAGGACAGCCCCTTATGGGTCTAAAACAGTGAAACTCCTAAAAATTTGTTTAATAGTGTACCACAATCCTATAATATAGATAATTTTCGTTTTACTATGCACCAATGAGTAAAAATAAGGTCTTTTATATCGATGAAATATTAGTTGTTAGCTATAGTGTTAATTATGATTTGTTTTATTACATTTCCAATTTATTAGATCAAATCCTAGGCTAATTTCTATGTGTTTAGATGATTTTAGACCCTGAAAGTGGTATTTACGAAACACAGAAAGGGTGATTACAAACAATGAAAAAGTTTAAGAAGTTGTAAGTACCATTTTACGAAACTGTAAACGCCATTTTAAGAAGCTGTAAATGTCGGGAGGAGAGTGTTGAAAAATAGGCTAAAAACAGGGGTTTTTGAGTATATAACTCCTTCATTCTACGGAGTTACACAAAAATATGGAGTAACAAACTTACATGTAATATCTGTTTCATAGTTTTTTGAGCAAGGTACCAATTGATCCTGGCACGATTTTCCTTTCAATTACTAAAAGAGAGAATATAACACGAAAAAGATTCAATATTGTACATCAGATTAAATACAGGTACTCACAGGATGATAGTGCATAACGATTTATGATTGCAGAATGGACATTCAAATAGACTATCTAAATGTTAAATACGACTTGTCTCTTTTAGTAGTTTTCGTTTACTTTTATATCTTCCCATTGCTTTACTTTCAAGTTGGTTATAGTCAAAAAATTGAACTAGAAGTTATCTATACAAATAACAAATAGAGTAATAATATAAAATAAAATCTATATCAAGGATCTGATCTTTCGCTCAAACAATACATGTAGTCTCAGTACGTGCCTTTCTGAAAGATATACAATCACTTCTCCATAGTGACAAAACAAGAAAACAACAAAGTGACAGGAGAACGTTATTTTAGTTAATGAATCCTGTTAACCATGTAACGTTATCGTTGTACACAAATATCGATTTTGCTCGCTCAATCTAAGTTTTATAAAGACGCTAGTGCAATAATGCAATTGTTTGCAGAGTTCACACATATAGCTGTTTTTCTTAATCAGTTTTCTGGAGACGCTACAAGAATAGAAGATAGTAAAAAATATCTCATCTTGAATTCAAAATTAAGCATATGATCCTTTTGATTTTATTGGAGCAGAAATTTCCATTTTAGGTTTTCATAGCCCTATCAGCATCAACTTCTTTTGCTCGTAGGTAAAGATCCAAGAAAAATATAATAAGACAAGAAAAAATAAAAATGTACGCACGCTCATTTGCTTATTGTTTTCCCATTGGATATCTGTATTATACCGGATTTGATGTGTGAAGGTGTCCAAAAGAGAGAATAAGTTCGATGGTGATTGCCGAATTAAATTTTTCAGAAAGGAAACAACAATTAGGGCTGAAACTTTAGGATTATTTCTTATGTTCGCATACGACTGACAAATCTAAGATAAATTTGATTTACATTTTTTAATCAAGGATAATGTTACAGTAATTTACACGATACACTTTACTGATAGACTGTCTTGATTGATTTATAGTGCGGTGATGAAGTAACGGCTTGAGAAAATAAGTTCATTTATTTAGAAAAGGGGCCAGTCTCTATTAATTGATACTTTGGTGACGTGATATTAAGTGTTCTTACTATTTATCTAAATACCCGCGAAGAGATCTGCAGATTAGTCCTTTTTTGCTTCACTCTGATGTGAATTTCAAGCTTTTCTCTTCGGAAAGTAACATAACTTTGATCAAACACTAAAATGCTTATGTTTCTTAAGACAACTGACAACGATTGTGATTTTACTTCGAGATACAAGGTATTCTAAATCTATTTCATCTTATTAGTAAAGTTATTTGCTTACATCCTGCAAATATCAAATTGTATAATTTTTAGATTAATCATCGCATGGGTTTAGTGCGAAAGCGTCATGGCGGTGGACGCCATAAAAAGTTGAAAGCAATCGATCCATTTTATTCTGGACCTAGAAAACTTTTAATTGACAAGTATGTGCAACGAATTTTATGTTTTTGCTATAAAACATGTAGGACTAAGAATTATCCATTATTTATTCACTTGGAATATGTTGTCATAGTAATTTTTGAATGACATGCCTGTTCAAGTAGAGATTTTCACCAAAAGATAACCAAGCATCAATAATATATCTATACAAAAAATCAACTTTAAACTGAATGCCTATTCATCTTTGTTCTGAAGCTCTACGTGACAGTTTCGGATGATGCAAAAAATTAGCCGTCACGTCACGTAAATTTGTCCTCCTTCAGTCAATTACAACTTTTAACAAATCAGATTTTCAAAGTTAGACAAATGAACTCCTGAGTAAAAAAGTTTTTATTTTAATTATGTTTCTCAGTGTGAAAACTTGATTTTCATCTTTATATCTTGTAGTGCTGCAAAAAGTATTAATATCTCAGTAGCAGAATGACAGAACATTTTATCCTTAAAAGGAGTGTGAAAAAGTGAATAAAATTAACATATTATGATAACAACTTTAGAATGACTGTAGAATGGTTTCTCAGCCAGTTGTTTGAATAAAATTTATTTCAAGATGAACCAACCACTTTGTTCATGTCCTACGTACAAGATTTTTCTTTTAATCTTTTAATTTTTTAAATTTAGAGGGGATTTTTACTTTCAAGCGATATGTTCTAAACCACTTTTCATCTGACTATGTATAAATCGAACAGATATCTTAAACGATAAATAATCTTGAATGAGAACAAAAAAGATCAACAGAAGCTCGAGTTGAATATTTGTAGTTATATACAATATGTATTAATATAATATTTGTAGTTAAATACAATTGTAGTTATATATAAAAAATGTAGAACTATTGATGGAAACCGTTATGTCATTTAAAAATTATGATAATAATAAGTTCTATGTATAAATTTTGAGCATCACTATACATTTGCAGTTGTTTTCTTCAATAGGAAATTATTCAATGCTAATATAGCACCGAAAAAACATGATAAAAACGATTCAAAAGTATCCAATCGTTTTCGTGAATTTTTATCAAATAAAGAATATGCTATTGAAAAATCTAAAAGTAAAAAGAAGAACAAAAACAAATTCAAAAATCAAATAAATGACCATGACAATCAAGAACAACAAGAGATACTAGATAACAAACGATTTTTGCACAAAAATAAAGCAGATGAAAATAGAGCTGAAAAATTTCTTCCATTATCAAAAAATCTTGAACAGAGACCGAATGAACCATTCAAAAAATATATGCAACGAGTAGAACAAGTGAGTTGATCTCATCTAAAAATACAAATGTCATTTGATGGGTTTTTAAATTGAACAGGAAGCGAAATATGCCATTGATCGTGCACAATATGAAACAAAGTATGATGTTAAATTAATTGATGGTGAAAATCATATTGAAATAGAGAAAGAAAAAAGTAAACGAACAATAAAAAGATTAAAGTACGTAAATGAATTAACGCAGAGATTTAATTATCATAACTTTTCGTTGCTTGTTTTTAGACGTTTACAAGAGAAAAAACAAGATTTAAAACTGAAGAAAGAGGAGAAAAAAATAAAACAAGATGATTTTCAATTTTTTCAAGGTTTGTTTTTTCTATTTTGTTATGGTAGTATGTAATTATGAAGAACTATTCTTAGATAAACCAAAATTTGGAGAAGTTGTACATGGACCACCCACTCTAAATATGCCGAAACGAAACAAAGTGTCAATATTGAAAGTAAAGTGTGGAGAGAAAGAGAGAGAATAATGAACTCCTATATATTATTTATATATTTATATTTTGTTGATCTTTTCTAGGGTGGTGCAAAAGATCTATTGTTAAAGAAAAAATTGAAGAACAAGGAATAATCATTTTTCTTTGTTTTTTTTGTGATGTACTGTTTCTCCTTAGTCTTGAATGTTTTGTGTTTATTTTTTGTAAATATATTTCGTCTGGTTCTGATGAGATGAAAAATTTTTTTAGTTTCTCCGAAAAGATATGAGATGAGTTTATTATTGAAGTCATAAATACACAAGCATCATGTGTAGAATCATTTTTCTTGAAAATACAGTGACTAAAGCTGTGAATTGATGCTGAGTTTGATTTTCGTGCGTTTTAATCATCTTGAAAAATTTTAAGTGTAAAACACAAAATAAAACGTACAACAAAATCTATGCTACTACACCGAGAAAAAATAAATATATACGAGCTATTTCGATACATCAATCAATCCATTTCTAAACATCATGAACTTTTCATAAAAAAAGACAAAAAGAAAATGAAAAAGAAAAAAACAATTTTTAATGTTGTTATGCTATTAGCCTGTTGCTTCGGTCTGCTAATTTCCTTGATGCAATACAAGTGTACACAAAATTTGTATAAGAAACACTGTTTAATGAATGTTATGTTGTTCGTTTTTAGAGTCTTCTTCACTTTCAATTCGTTTGTAAGTTGATAGATAGCAGTAGCTTATTCAAAAGCACTAGGGCAAAATCCATGGAGACAAAACCAGTATATACAAAAAGTTTGTCGCATTGATGCACACCTATTTCATTCGAAAGAGCATCAAATTCGGAACAAGAAAATGTATTTTTCAACTTTCCGAACATCCCCGGGAAGATCATGGGGGGTTTAAACTTTCAATGTTTTAGGGCATAAAGGGTGGGCCAGAAGTCCTGATTCGATTTGAATAATAAATTTTTCTATAGTGAAACAAGTGGTTGTAAATTTGTCTCTATGAAGAAAAGATATAGTAAAAACGCTCTACAAAATGACGGTTGATTGACCCCGTTAGCTCATCTAGTAAGAAACTTATAGGCTTAGAAATGTGCTTCACAAAAAAGAAAAATCAACCGTGGATTCGGTCTATGTGGTGGTGCTTTCAGTAAAAGTCCCATAAC